GGAGGAGAGAGAGAGAAGAGTCGACAGTGAATCCTCTCCAGTATTGTTTCCTCCGGTATTTTTCAATATGCTGGCATGTGTCACTAAAATTTTTAAACGCCAAGATATCCCCTGGAATATTTTAATATTTTTCCGTTTATATTATCTTATCATATAAAATAAATAAATAACAACATCAGTCAACGATCTAAACAATGCTTGAAATTCAGGCGCCGAATGGACGGAACCATGTTGGTTCAAGGGGGTTTAATTGAACCCATTTCGTAAATTTTTTTAAAACTATTTTGATGTGCAAATTATCTTTCTAAGAAACTATCCTATAAAAAAAAGGCCGTTCAACCCGCTTGACAAAGGAAGTTCCTTGGTCGGATGGTTGAAGCGGGTTCAGAATGTGTAAATGGTCGTAGTTTCGAAATCAGGTCTTGTATTATTTTTGTCGTTTATATTTTTTCGTAGTCTTTTGCCCTTTATGTTTCTCTATTTTCACATGTTCCAAACCAAGGAAAGTCACCAAAACACTATCATACTCCCCATTAATATTCTATTCCCGTGATTCTACAAAAAAATCATGCGGTGATTTTTCATGTTTTTTTTTTTTTTGGGGGGGGGGGGGGGGAGTTTAAGGAGCTATTGAGGTGAATATTTTAAAGGACCCTAATATACACACATTATACAATTTATATAAATATATAGTTATATACATAATGATTTTTTAAATTTTATTTTTCCTTCAAATAATATTCGATCCAAACTTGACAACCTTTTTATATGAAACATTTCATGTTATTTTAAACCATTTAACTTGTCTATTCGTTATCGATCTGCATCGTTTCTTCTTCTTCTTCTTTCTTTTCTTCTTTATTTTATATTAATTTCCTTTCATAGTTTTGAAACTTATATTGAATTTATTAATTTGATTTAGTTTATAGCTCTTTTATGTTATTTTTGATTTACAGTTAGTGCAAGTTAAATTATGAGTTTAATATTTTATATAGATCAAATTGATGTTTGTTCCGGTAAATTTTTTAAATAAGTTTGTAAGAGATCTACTGTGAAAATCTAGGTAAATGTTTAAACAAAATTAAAACAAGGCATTTTGATGATGTAAATAGTAGCGAGCAATGTTTCCTTTAACGTTTCGTTAAGAACCACAATAAAAGGAGTAAGGTAAACCTTATATGTTAGCTTAGTGTCGCCTTTAATGTCAATTGCGGCCGAGGACTTGGTATATACCTGAACCCGCTTGCATAAAGTTTTGGGTCCATTAGTGCGCCGATGCCAATGGCATAACCCATGGTCTAAACATTTAACTTATTTCAAGATTTATTTTAAAACTAAAGAGTTAATTTTGATGCCACTCTCAATTTGACTATAATTCTTTTATTTCATGTTTGTTGAAATAAGACGTTCACTAAAAAAATCATTTGTTATTGCAGAATCCCTACAATAAAAATGACAGATGAAGGCAGTTAAGACTTTAGGGGGTTTCCTTACTAGCTAAATGAATTGAAAATGACAGAAAAAGGAAGGAAAAAGAGAAAGAAGAGAGGTGCTAAATGAAGTGAGATGGATAGAAAAAGAGGAAAAGAAAAAGAAGGAATTACATTCTATGTCAGTCGGCCCGATCTTACAATCAAAATAGCCCATATTTTTAAATTTTACCTGACATAGCCCATTTTGCAGATAATGCATAAAAAGGATTTCATTGGTTAACCTAGCGTGCAGAGGAGAACTAGACAGCCTCCTTTACCCATTTTTTTTTCTTTCTTCGACTTTTAGAATAAAGATATCGATGACGAAGTCAATCGAGAGGTCGCCGGCAAAGTTAACGATGTCATCGGAAAATAAATATGGCGGTGGATAACATCCTTTACCCATTTTTTCCTTCAATTTTCAAGGTAAAGAGATCGACGATAAAGTCAGTGAAGTCATCGGAGAATGAATCTCCGGTGGTGAATAGCCGTTTTTACCCACTTTATGTTATTTTTGTTCTGTCGGAAAAGAATCCATTTAAAATAGAAACATTTTGTATTTTAGCAAATCATTTGCTCTGGTGTTGTATTCAGACAATTTTCAAGTTATTCAGATGATGTTCCAGTTATATATCTTCTTTTATTAAACAATTCCATCTCCATCTTCTCTCCTCTTTAATTTTCAGATCTAACTTCCTCTGAAAATCCCTCTTTTGATATTTTGGTACCGAAATAGAGGTGTAATATTGAACACAAGATGTGTTCTGGTATAAATATTGTATAACCACTATTTATACACACTTATACATTATTGTATAATTATGTATAAATGTGTATATTTATATATAAATGTGTATATATGTTCATAACATCACATAATTATTTATTTCTCAATGTATAAGGATATATATACATTGTCATTATATAAGAGGCCTCCATGGAAGTTTGACACTTATCTTCTTCTTCTTTCTCTTATACTTTTGATATACATTATTATACATTCCATATACAAGTTTATACATAGTTATACATGTACTGCATATGTATAATCAAATTAATTTTTTTTTCATGTTTTCTTACTTTTTCTAGAATAATTCATGTATAAATCTACTTTCCTTCTAATTTCTCCACCAAATCACGAACTTGCAGCAATTATTTTTCAATTTTTTTATATAAGTTGAATCAGCGAAATTGAAAAAATGTAAGCTACTCGGTTCTTTATCTTGTTTACCATTTTTGAGGAAGAATCCTTTGGGAAAGGTTACAAACTTGTCCTGATTAAACTCCGTTGCTGAATAAAAAAGCCAGAAAATACTCTTTTTTCAAATCTTAGCCTATTATTTTTGTGCTACAGATTTGTAAAGTTATGACTGGGCTATTATGTTGCAAGTCAGATGTATGAGTTGTATTTATGTGAAATTATCCCAAAGAAAAATGCAAGTGTTTCTCCTACGGGAAAGAATCACTTCTGTAATTAGAATTGTAAATGATTAATTAGAGTACTTTTGGCTTTTGAAATTAATAATAAAGAATCAAATCTACAATACATTCTGGAAAATTCTACCATTGAAATAATAACGTGCTATATTAATTTTATATGTTAAAATAAGACAAAATTGATATTGAAATATCCCAGCGGTATCTGGCCTATAAAAGTTTCAGTGACACATGGCAGCATCCAACAATACTGTCACGATCCCGTTTCTCCCTCCGTGAACTGTCATGACGGCACCTAGTTTCTACGACTAGGTAACCCTAATATTGCGGAAATAAAATGAAAACACAAAGATAACAACTAACAGATATCTTTATAAGCAGAAGTTGTGGCACTCGACATATACAATAGTCATTCCCCCCAAAACCCGAAAACTCGCAAGTCACAAGCTACTAAGAAGTTTTAACTGTTCTATACATCATCTCTACAGAAAGAAAGAGAAATGAACATAGGGGGATAGAGGGGGACTCTGAGGATCTGCGGGCGCGGGCAGATGTACCTTGAAGTCTCCAACAAGCAGCAACGACTTAAAAGAAAACAGATAATGAAAACGTAGTTTTTCAATAAATAGCTCGTGTACGCACTCGTCACCTCACGTACACGACGCTCATATATCAAACAGTACCAAAACCTAAGGGAAGTACCCCCCCCCCCCCCCACAAGGTTAGGGAAGCCACTTACCTCGAACCAAGCTCCAATCAATCCGTCAAAATGGTATTTCCACGAATATCCGACTCCGAATGGCCCAAATATAGCCAAAACCAATTACATAATATAAATATAACTACAAGAAACTAATTTAGCTATTGAAATCAAAGCTAAGGCAAGAAATTGAAAAAATCGCTCAAAAAGCCTCCCCGGGCCCACGTCTCGAAATCGGGTAAAAGTCACAAATTATGAACACCTATTCACTCACGAGTTCATTCGTACCAAAATTATCCAAATCCGAGGTCTAAATCCCACTCAAAACTCAGAAATTTGATTGGGGAACTTTTCTCCCATTTTCCCAACTTTCCCACTCAAAATCCTTGATTAAATGAAGAAAATAATAATAGATTAATAAAATATAGCCAAAACCGAGTAATGAATCATTACCCCAAAGCTCTCTCTGAAATCCCTCAAAGAATCACCAATTACCGAGCTCCCAAGGTCCAAAAATGGATAATGAACTCAAACCCTCGCACTTAGCTCTTTTTCTGCCAGTCAAACTGCATCTGCGGACTTTTCTTCGCACCTGCGGTGCCGCATCTACGGTGAAACCTCCGCTTCTGCGGAAATCACTTACTCAGCTTACCTCCGCTTCCGCGACCAGTGACCGCATCTGCGCATGTCGCAGGTGCGGAAATTACGTCGCACCTGCGGACCAAAGCTCGCACATGCGCACAACTCTCTGATTCTGCGACCATCGCAGGTGCGGGAAAATCTTCGCACCTCTGGACTCTGCTTCACTCCCTTCAAGTCGCTTTTGCGATCCAAGCCCCGCTTCTGCGGGGTCGCACCTGCGGTGACCACTCCGCAGGTGCGACTACACCAGCACCAGAAAATCTTCAGCAACAACATAACTTCAACCTTTAATCCGTCAAGCACCCGAAACTCACCAGAGGCCCCCGGGACCTCAACCAAATATACCAACCAATCCTAAAACACCAAACGAACTTAGTTGAGTCCTCAAATCACATCAAACAACGCTAAAAATACAAATCACCCTCCAATCCAAACCTAATGAACTTCAAGCTTCCAAATTCGACAACATATGCCGAAACCAACCAAACCACGTCCGATTGACCCCAAATTTTGCACACAAGTCATAATCAACATTACGAAGCTACTCCAACTTTCGAAATCGGATTCTGACCCCGATATCAAAAATTCCACTACCGGTCCAAATCTCCAAAAATTTGACTTTTGCCATTTCAAGCCTAAATAAGTTACGGACCTCCAAAACACAATCCGGATATCCCCCTAAGCCCAAAATCACCCAACGGAGCTAACGGAA